CTTGGCCAAAAAATGAATGTTAATATAAAAATCTAAAAAAATGTGCAAGCATTAAATGCTAATAAATAATAATAAATAAATATTAAAAAAAGAGTTAAATTCTATTAATCTTCTTTTTGGAATTCAAATTCCTGATTTCTTTAAATTCCTTAATATGTTCAAATTTCTTTATAAAAATATTATTTATTCTGTTTTAATTGGGATTCAAACGCTCCCTCTCCCACATGAAACAAATGATACTAATCAACTAAGCTGAGTTCAACTTTTTATTTATGTAAGGATAAAAATTATTCTTATGATACTCTAGATATTGATAATTCTGGACGATAAAAATGGTCTTGCCCCAAAGTAGGGGGCAACTGATACACCACCAACAAATTTTCATCATCCGACACGAATCTCAAGATGATATTTTAAGCAGAAAACATTTAAATCTTGATAAAAAGTCATCCAGAGATCCAATTTTAGCAAACTTATAGTCAAACTGACCGGCTTGATCAGACGAACCTAATAATATGAAAAGTAGCCCAATTCAAGTCAAATCAAGCCCAGATCAAGTCATTGAACCACACTTTGATGATTTTCGAACACATTTGGAATGTCAAACGGTTGTCGAATATGGTAATGTTATACTCGGGTCGAGCGGCTCGACAAGAAGAATTCAACAAGTCCAAGATCACTCAATTCTGACATCATTAAGACACTTAAATGCTCATTAAACGTCGTATGATTGAGGGAAGCTCTCCAGATCGTCCGATCAAAATGATCATATTCCTTCATTGATTGCACCCAGAACACTATATAGAACACTATAAATAGAGTTTTATCCCTCTCATGGGAGGAGGAGGAAGTCTAGAGAGAGAGCTTCAGGCCTTGAGGAGAAGTTGCAGCTCAGCACCACCGTCGACTGTCGTCGACCTCTATCAACCTTCATCGACCACCACTAACCACCTTCGATCACCATCAACCAAACGTCATCAGTCAACGTTATAATCTAAAAATTATAGTTACCATTTCCAGTCTGTGGGACAAGGGATTTCTGTAATCATCAATTAATAGTGAATTTCCGCAACTGGACCAGGCCTCGTGGGTTTTCTCTTACGACTTTTCCACGTAAAAACTTCTAAAGTCATCACCGCTTGTTCTTTTTTCATCTGTGTGTGTGTTGAACTTTCGTACAGTGCTAAGATGATAGTGTGTTACTCTACCACCGCGAATTTTCTAGCACGCATCAAGTCTAATATAATTTAGGCCGGGTACAAATAAAAAAAAAAGAAAGAAGTACGAATGAGCTCAACTGAAGAATGAGAAGACAAATCAAGAGAGTTAACGGCAATCATGTTGATGGCTTAGTCAATGGTCAATGTGATTGTATGGACAACTGACTATTTGAAGCATTATAAGATGAAGGCTGGCGACAAAATTTTCAAATTTGATGTTTTGTTTACCTAAGTTTTATTTTTTATCTCAATTTTATTCTAGATTGATTTTCATCTTTGTTTCTGCAATAGCAATAATATTCTCTTCATCGTTATGTTCTGTGATTGTAGATTTCTCTTTGACGCGGTGGGATGAGCATTTATCACGATCCTTTAAGAGAAATATAAATGACAGATAATCGACAAGAAACTTGAAGATGTCGAAAACCTTAGTTATCAAAATATTGATTCTAGTCGATATTGTGATGATAATTATTTTGTTATTATTATTATTAGGACAACTTAGTTCCTGTTAAAATTAAAGACTTGTGAGACTATCCAAGTATTTTGATGTATTAGCTTATGCGACTTGAAGTATGTACTAATGTGGGACTTATTTATGTGGCTCATATAGACTTGAAGCATGTAATAATGTGGTTTTTATAGACTTGAAATATTTTGATGTGTTAGCTTTCTGAGTAAATCAATTTTTATGTTTTCAATTAGTTGTCATCTTTGTTTCTGCAAAGATGACAATAGCAATAAAACCCCTCTCAGGATTGATTTTCATCTTTGTTTCTGCAATAGCAATAATATTCTCTTCGTCGTTATGTTGTGTGATTGCAGATTTCTCTTTGACGCGGTGGGATGAGCATTTATCACGATCCTTTAAGAGAATTTGTCTCGTTATAATTGAAGAAAAACACCTAATGAAGAACTTTTAAATATCAGCAATACCGATTTATCTAGTTTTTTTTTTTTTGTAGCTTTTTGTAATTCTTTGTTTCATTTGTAGTTTTTTGTAATGGCATGAGTCTAGTAGATGATGTTTCAGAGCCTAACTTATGAAGTTTTAATCAAGAAATCTACAATGTGTGAATATTGAGGTGATCTCAAATTGTTAATTGCTTGACACAGACTCACTTTTGATATAACATTTTCTTTTATAAATTAGTAATTTAAAATGTGTTATTGCAATAAAAACTTCAAAAATATTTTCTTAAAAAGAAACTAAAATATGTAGATTCATACAAAGACAAAGTAAATGAATCACTATTGGAGATGAAAAAATAACCAATTTAAGCACTAAAATAACAAAATTGAGCATTCGCAATAGTTGTGAATTGTTCAAAATGATTCACTAAGTGCAATATACACTAAATTTGTAGAGATTTTTTGTAACTTTTCATTGACACCAAAAACATCAAAATCAGGCTAGATTTGATCGATTTGTGTTGATTTATTTGTACCAAATCCATTTTAAATATATATATATATATAAGAACTTGGTGGCATTAGACTAACTACAATTTCATTTGTATAAATCAAATGCAGTCGTAGAGAATCTTGTTGTCTATCCAATTTAGGGTTTAGGGTTTAGGGTGTCGAAATCAGACAAAAATTGAGAGATGTAGTTTGATTTAATTATAATAACTTAATTATTCATTTTAAAAAAAATTTAAAGCTGAAGTAGCTATTTTGGTTTGCGACTGGATGCAAAAAACTAATGCTTGTTAATATGGGCGACTGCACACAGTTAAAAAAATAGTTTTTCTTCTCTACCGATTTAGCTCATATAAGTAAACAAAATATCTTATTTAAAAATATCGCAGGTGAAGGTCATTCCCAAACAAGTTGGCCCTAGGGGTTAAACAAATGGTCAACATTGGACCAAACAGTTCGTTCAATCCTTCCTTGAAGGTGGCTATTATTTGCACATAATGGATTGATGACAAACGCTACGTTTTAGCAATTACCTTCGATGGCTAAGGGGTTCATCCCTCAATCTCTATTTTGTATGAGTTGTTAGCAATATTGTTTGATTAGAATAACACACATTCATTGTTGTAAAAAATATCTGATAAATTCTACTTTTCAATTTACAGAAATTGCCACAAAATCTTCATTTTGGGAGTTGGTTGCATCAATTGATTGTGCTTTATAAGACGAACATTTTGTTTTGTAAATGATAATATGATTGTTACTATTTTCTTGATAAACTCCAATTATAGCAATGAATTTATTCAAAAATATTCTATCAATCTAACCATTGAACCTTAGCTTGATATTTTTATTGGGATGAAGCCTATGAAATATTATATCCGGATCAATGATGAGAGATATTGCTAGTGTTAGCTACCATTAGATCACCATCAACTAACCAAGTCTATCTTGATTTTGTCAATTTACTCAGTACATCATAAAAATTCATCATGCCCCGTTTCAACTAAAATTTATTAAATTTAGAGTATTCAAATCTTTGATCATAAATATTATTAGTAGTAGGTACCAAGCATCAATAGCTCAAGTTCCTCTTAATATCATCAATTCATTTGATCAACATAAATGTCAATTTTTTGCTCTGATCCATCCAAAGTTTGATCATAGGGGTGAACAAGGGGAGGGTACCATCACATCTTTCATTGTTCATAACTATAATGAATACTTTCATACATTATGTATAATACAAATTACTCATCTCGTAATCTATAAATGATTCTCAATTTAATTTATTTAGAGCATTCTAAGCTGAGGAGCATCCAAGATAAATCATGTAGATCTTCTCTGAATTTTGTAACCCAATTGATCACTTAGATATATTAAAGTTTCATTGGGACATCATTATCTCATTCTACACATTATAGCTCAACTTGCTCTTTCATGTTGTCATATCCAATTATGTGCTTTAACTTTGCTTATGCTGCAACTTCGCTAACAATAAATCAATTTATGACTCAAACCACAATTGCATTACAATCATCTCTTTCAAGACTTATGTTCCAAACTTTCTTGTTATTCTAATAAACTCCATCAAGACAAGCTTATGTTGTGATCTCACTTCCATTATAATTGTAGCAACATCCAAACAAACGTAGCAATCTCAATTATTTAATAAATTTCTCCTTCCAAACATTTGTTGCACCCTCACGTCTATCATAACCATCTTGAAATCCCACGCTGCAACCTCACTTGTGCCATGAGCATTGCCACATACAAACATGTATCAATTGCCCTTCGAAGACACACTTCTTCTTCCAAACATCTTACAACTATCTCCTTCAAAATCTTTACCGCAACATCATCGACTAAAATAAAAGTATATGACACCACCAATTCTAATTAAACCGCCTAAACAAGGTACTCCTAATATTTTTTGTATAGATTACAAAAATATATAAACATACAGAAAAACTATTTTTCATAGCATATGTTATGCATATGAAGTGTGAAGTCTAACATGGTGACCAACTCTAGAGAGCCAAAGAATGCAATATTCCTTCGTGTCAATTCCCATATTTGTTATTCATTTCATCTGCCCCATAAGATATATAAGCTATTCATTGAACTGATCAGTCAGAAAATAAAGTAATAATAAATATAATAGTGTTGCTCATTGAACAATAAGAATATCTAATTCATATCACATTAATCATAAGCTAAAACTTATAAAAGAAGGGCCTCCTTCGGTGAAAAGCTTTTATTTATGTAACACAGCAATAGAAACTGATTAAAAAAAATATAATGTGCAAATTTATGATTGATTAGCAGCTAGAAATAAAAAAAAACACAAGCTATCATCTTTAATTGCAGCATATCAAATTCATGCACAGGAGTCAATCAAAATAAAACGAAAGAAATAAAATGGTGTCCCGTCCCAAGCATTGGGGCGGCTATTATTGCACAAAATAATAATAATAATAATAATAATAATAATAATAATAATAAAATAATAAAATAAATAAAGAGTAAATTAACATGTAAAGAAATATGATTATCACTGATCAGAGCAGCAAGAGTTATGGAGGTGAGCTTGGTGGTGGCGTTCCTCCATCTTCAGAGGCATTGCCATACTGATGCTGCTGTGTAGATGATGAACCGTGTGGAAGCATCTCAGGATGCCTCATATCCACCATCAATGAACTGAAATTAGAAGGATCATAGAAACAAGGAATTGATTGATTCAGTTCTTCAACCCCAGGAATCGTCGCCGCCGCCGCCGCCCCCCCATGCGCCGCCTCTTCCATCGGCACAATATCCACCAAAAAATCAAACATCTGATGATTCGCAACTGCTAGAGAGAGGTCGCTCTTCAGCAAAGTCTTTCGCTTGTTCAGCTCGGCCTGAAAGTACGCACGATGCGTCAGCTCCAGGATGAACATCTCGCACGCCTTCGAGAAGATCACCGGCGTCTCGGCGGCGATCATCTTGACTTCTTCGTCAGCCTTCATGATCTTCTTGATCCTGGCCAGGGGGAGGCTGTGATTCTTGAAGTCCTTGATGGCTAGGACTTCCTGCAGCTGATCTGCCCAGAAGAGCTGAAGCCGGAGCTCCTGCTGCATAAACTGTGGAGGCGGAAGCTGCTGTCGAGGAATTTGATATTGTGAAGGATATGGATAGGGGAACTGGATCGGCATCCCGTTTGGCAGCAGTTGTGGATTGGTGCCCATTATTTGGTTTGTTAGGAGTCCATTGGTGACTAGCGGGAACTGGAATGAATCCATGACATCCTGCTGTGATTGCTCCGTCTCATTCTGCGTGTTCGTTGAAACAATGTTCGGATCAGCATTTTGTATCAGCATTTTGTCAAATAATCAATATGATGCGGGAAAAACGATTTTATGTGTTTGCTTTGGCTCTAATGTTGTTCTTTGCACATTGGCACTATGCAATTTTTGGTGTTTTACCACTTCACTTGTATCAATCTTACATTTAGAGAAAAGCAAATATTTGTTACTGATTGTGATGCAATCTCATTCTCGAGTCTTTATAGTCAGCAATTCGATGAAGCCGGCAATTCGATGATGCTAGCCAACTCCAAAAATTAGGTGAGCAAGGAATCCAGAAGAGGAGCTTAGATTGAGAAGGATAAACTATTCAAGAATGTCATCAACTCCGAAAATATAAGATTACAGATCATTTTCATTCCATTTCTTCAATGTCTTCAAATACAAATATTTTTAGAATACAAGATTACTGATCATTATTAACTAAATAATTAACTGTGCTTATTAATGTAATACAAGAACTAGCCAATGTAACATCTTATCAGATTGTCATTTAACGCGAAACTTATTTATGCTTAAGGTTTTACTGATTACTGGGTTAGCTTGCCTGTGCGCCAAGTCTAAGTTTTGTTCGTTCTTAGTTCAAATTTCTCACCAAGTGATATCAAAGCAATTGGTTTAAATAAAGGCAATTAATTAATAACCTCCACCGTCTATATTGTTCATCAATGTTTAAGCAATTCGCATTATTCAGTGGTCATTTGGAGTACATCATTAGACAAAGTTGAAAAGAGTGTGTTTGACGGAGAAGAGACCGCTGACGAGGAGAAGTTTCAAGTGAGGGGGAAATTTGTTAATAGGCTCTTATATAAAAGAGAAATCCATCGATACAAAGGATATTGAACCCAACTTTGGAACTCCATTATCCACATTTCCAAACAAATGAAATTATGGAAATGAATTTAAAAAATTTGTTGAATCAACTGCAAACAATATCAATAAAAATAATAATAATAATAATAATAATAATAAGTGTATGTATAGCTATTGCCATATATCAAATCGAGCTCACCAGCTGAAGTAGTTGGATTGAGCCCACTTGACAAAATGGCTGAATCGAGCCCATCTGCTGAAGTGGCTTAATCGAGCCAACTTGACGAAATTGTTGAATCTCGTCTCTCCTAAAGAGGTAACCTAGCCCACCCCGCCTAGGGAGGGACAGCTATTTTGGGAAGGTCGTCATTTCTATCACAACTTTCTTCCTTTAAAGGCACCGTCTGACATCCACGTCACGGTTTTTTCAGCAAGACACTTTGGATCGATGTCCTGCTATATAAAGTGCATTTTCTATTATTTTCTCTTTTTATCTAAAAGGGAAGTCAAGAGGAGGTGAAGAGATGTTAAATCTTTTTCCAAAGTCATTCTCTCTCCCTCTCTAATATTGTTACCCAAGAAACCTCCTCCGAGCCATTTTTTCGGCTTTTCGGAAGTTCAAACTCAATACATGATCCTTAGAACCTTCTCTCAAACCTCTCATTCATTTCTCTCCCTAACACCTCTCTTCCACAAATACAAGATCCTTACCTCACATCCGTACTCACAAATAATATAGGACCTTACAACCTAAAATGATTCAACAATAAGATCGTAAACAAACATGCAAATGGAAAAATAAAAGTGCAAAAAAAGCCTAAACTTAAGCTTGATTTGAAACCAAATTGATACAAAGTTTTCCGGCATTTAAAATCAAGTTTGGCTACACCAAATGTAAAGATGGCAACAATTATCTCAAGATAATGCTTGCCAGTTTTCTAGAATTAGATCAATCCCAGCAGGTAGCAATCAATACTAACATCATATTTTAGCAGATAAATTATCTCGCCCATCTTCTCAAAGCAAAGATTAAGATCCATTCTTTCTTTTTTTTGTTTTAATTTTTACAGAAGAAGTTTAAGATGATGTTGGTAGAATTCGGACCAAAGACTTCAACAACAACTTCTAAAATTTGAATCAACCAATTTCTCAGAAAAATGATGATTTATACGTGACAGAAGATTCTCAAAGATATATTGATTATTTAGCGTCTTGACATTGTACTAGAATTCACCACAACCCCATAAAGTAAAAGAGAAATAAGCATGAGGAGACAAATCGACTTTTTACGTGAAAAACTTCCAAAAAGAGACTACAAAGGCCGAAGTTGAGAGTTGCATGAGTTGTGAGCTATATAGACAGTAGTTAGTCACATAAGTCGCAATTATGAGTTGTAACAACGTCGGTCAAACATAGGCTGGACTAAGGAGTTGTGTGAGTTATGAGATACGTAGATCGTAGTTGGTCAAATAGATCGTAGTGAGAAACTGAAATAAAGTTCAGAGACCGCTGAGGTTGAAGTTAGGAGGTGCGTGAGCTGTGAGTCATCAGCCATGTAAGACATAGTGGTGAGTTGTAATAATATCAGTTGGTCAGAGTAGCCAGAGTAGAGAGTTGCGTGAGATGTAACCCACATAGGTCGTAGTTGGTCACATAAGTCATGGTGATGAGCTGTAATAACCATTGTCGGCTGCAGAGACTAAAATTGCGAGCTGCATGAGTTGTGAGTCATGCAGGCCGTAATGGGTCTTGAAGACCATAATTATGACATGTGAAATGTTTGTAGGCCGCAAAAGCTAAAGTTGGGAGCTACTTGACTTGTGGACCACGTATACTATAGTGGTCACATAAATCGTGGTGATGAGCTATAATAACATATGTAGGTTGTAGAGGCTGGAGTTGGGAGCTGCTTGAGGTGTCAATCACTAGGCCATAGTTGGTCACATAGGCCATGGCGGTGAGTTGTAATAACATCTGTAGGCCACAAACGCAATAGTTAGAAGACGTTTGTGTTGTGAACCACGTAGGTAGTAGTTGATCACAGATCATAGAGGCTGTGGTGGTGAGAGCGATAACATCCGCAGACCACAGAGGTCAGGGTTGGGATTTACATGAGTTGTGAACTATGTATGTGGTAGTTTGTTATATAGGTTGAGGTGGCAAGCTGCAATAGCGTTTGTAGGCCATAAAGACCGAAGTTATGAGTTGCTTGAGCTATGGGCCACGCCGGTCGTGGTAGTGAATTGGAATAACTTTCGTAGGCCACAAAGACTGGAGTTAAGAGAAATATGAGAAGAGAACTTCAACAATAGGTAGTAATTAATCACATATCATAGAGACTGTGGTGGTGAGGTGCAATAACATCAGCAGACCACAGAGGCCAGAGTTGGGATTTATATGAGTGTGGACTATGTATGTGATATTTTGTCATATAGGCTGTGATGGCAAGCTGCAATAGTGTTTGTAGGCCATAAAGACTGAAGTTATGAGCTGCTTTCGTCGTGGGCCACGTAGGTCGTGGTAGTGAATTGGAATAACTTTTTTAGGCCACAAAGATTGGAGTTGAGAGCAATATGAAGAGAGAACTTCAACATTATTAATAAGACCACTCTATTATGAGTATGGCGATTGTAACCAGTTATTCTGGGGAGTAGCACTGTATCTGAGATATGTTGTTGCACTGTATGTAGGGAGCACGTTACATCATTTTTGTGGCATTGTTATAGTGTCTCCGAGGTGTGTTGCGTTGTATATGCTTCATTACTCTGCAAGGCTGGTCATTACTCTACACAATGCTTTGTTACACTGCATGATGATTCATTACTCATTAGTGTTTGTCGTGACTCTGTAAGAAGCTTCGTTGTAATGAGGAGGTGGCTAACGGTGGTCGATGGTGGCCGACGAGCAATGGTTAACTGTGGTCGGTGACCGTGGGAATGAGAAACGTTTGTCGAGCCCTTGATACAGTACAACAATAGAATTCGGCTCCTCCCAATCCAACCCTAGCTTCAATTTTTTTGGTTCAAGGCATACATCCTTTTCATCAAAAGGGTAGGAATTCATTTATAGTTTCTAGGAGAGGCCTCCCTGCAAATAAGAAAAGAATTTGAATCACTCCATTGAACGGTTCGATGAGATTTCCTTGATCGGGGTCAGTATTTGGTGGACATTTAACGATGTTAGAATTAAATCATCTTGGACTCATTGGATCCGCCTTGTCGATGTTTGATTTGACTATAAGCCTATTAGATTGGAATTTATTTGACTCTCCAATCAGGTCCTACAAGCTTTTAAAATGCCTTAACGATGCGATTTGGGCTTGATTTGACTCTTATTTGACCAATTTTTGTGTCATTATGTTTGTCTCGTATATTCGATTAGTTTGACTTTATGTTTTCTGAAATATGAGTTCTGGATGATTTTTAATTTAAGTTTGAATGTTTTTTTGTGTCGTGCCTCGAGATCTATGTTGAATGATGAAAATTTATTGATGATGTATCAATGATAAAAATTTAATAAGTTTTGCTCTGTTTAAGTTCAAATTTCTTGCCAAGTGATATCAAAGCCAATGGTTTAGCTAAGGCCAATTAGTTCATAAGCTCGTACGACTATATTTTTCACCAATGTTTAAGCAATTCGCATTATTCAGTGGTCATTTGATGTTCGTCATTGGGCAAATTTGAAGTGTGTTTGAGGGATAAGAGATTGCCGACGAGGAGTGCTTTCATGTGAGGGGCAAAATTATTAATAGGCTCTTATATAAGAAATAAATTTTTCAAGAAAAAGGCTATTAAGCCCAACTTTGGAACTCCATTATCCACATTTCCAAACAAATGAAATTATATAAATGAATTTAAAAAAATTGATGAATCAAATGCAAGCAAGTTCAATAAAAAAAGTAATATGTGTATATATAACCATATGCTAAATCGAGCTCACCTGCTAAAGTGGTCAAATCGAGCCCACCTGTTGAAATGACTGAATTAAGTTCATCGGTTGAAGTGGCAGAATCGAGTTCAACTGCTGGTGACAGAATCGAGCCCACTTGCTGAAGTGGCTGAATCGAGTCCACTAGACGAAATGGTTGAATCTCGTCTCTCCCAAAAAGGTAAACTAGCCCGTCCCACCTAGGAGAGGGACAACTATTTGAAAAGATCCTCATTTCTACCAAGGACACAAATCTTTCTTTCTTTAAAGACACCGCCTGACATTCATGTCACGGTATTTTCATCAAGACACTTTAGATGAGTCTCTACTATATAAAGTGCATTTCTATTAGTTTCTCTTTTTTATAAAAAAGGGAAGTCAAGTGGAGATGAAGAGAGGTTAAATTTTTTTCCGAAGTCTTTATCTCTCCCTCTCTAACACTAAAATGAGAACTCTCCTCTGAGCCATTTTTTTCGACTTGTTGGAGGTTCAAACTCAATACATGATCCCTAGAACCTTCTCTCAAACCTCACATTCATTTCTCTCCCTTCCACGTCTCTTCCACAAATACAAGATCCTTACCTCGCATCCGTACTCACAAACAATATGAAACTCTACGTCCTAAAAAGATACAACAATAAGAATGTAAAAAAAAATACGAAGTGGAAAATCAAAGTACAAAAAACCCTAAACTTAAGCTTGATTTAAAATCAAATTCATACAAGGTTTTCTGGCATTTAAAATCAAGTTGGTTGTACTAAATGTAAAATACGACAGCAATTATCTCAAGAAAATGTCTGCCAATTTTCTAGAATTAGATCAATCCCAACTGGCCAATCAATCTTACCATCCTATTTTAGCAGATAAATTATCTCACCAATCTTCTCCAAGCAAAGATCAACATCCATTTTTTCTTTTTTTCCTTTTAATTTTTATGTTTAAGATGATGTTGGTGGAATTCAATCCAAAGACTTCAACAACAACTTCTAAAATCTAAATCAACCAATTTCTTAAAAAAAAAAGGTTGTTTTATACATGTCATAAGATTCACGGTGATAGAGTAATTATTAAGCATCTTAATATTGTACTAGAATTCAACATAAACCTATAAAATAAAACAGAAATAAGTATGAGGCACCTCAATTTTTTACATGACAAAACTCTAATAAGAGAAAAAAACCATGGGCCCTAGTCCAGTTGAAATAATTTGTTATGTAATTGTAAGTGCATATGTTCACTCTTCTTCTTCATAAAGGAAGATTTCGTTACAAAGTTGATCATCATAGGTATACAAGAGTACTTCATTGATAACATTTGTAATCTGACTTTAATAAACGTTGTTCTCGACGATGATATGCTGGAAGGGTCATAATTGGTTGTTATGAAGGCAATATCCCGTCATAAATGTTGTAAGCGATGGTTGTAGAGTCAGCTTGCCATAGAGACCATAGTTGAAAGTCATTGTAATAGTTAGTTATAAAGGTCACAGATGATTGTCTCATGAGCATCAATTGGTTATAGAGGTCATAATAAGTTGTATAAATTGCGAGTCACGTAAACCGTAGTTGATACGTAAGTCGTGGTAGAAAGCTATAATAACGTTCATATGCCACAAATGTTGAAATTGAGAGTTTTATGAGTTGTGAGCTACATAGTCAGTAGCTAGTCACATAGGTCGCAATTGTCGGTTGTAAAAACATCGATAGAACACAGAAGCCAGAGTAAGAAGTTGCGTGAGCTGTGAGTGAGATACTTAGGTCATAGTTGATCACATAGACAGTAGCAGGAAGCTGTAATAACTTTACAGAGGTTGAAGTTAGGAGGTGCGTGAGTTGTGAGTCATGTAGATCATAATGGTGAGTTGTAATAATATCAGTTGGTCGGAGGGATCAGAGTTGAAAGTTGCGTAAGTTGTGACCCACGTAGGTCATAGTTAAGCACATAAGCCGAAGTGGTAAGCTATAATAACATCTGTTAGCTACAAAGACCAGAGTTGTGAGTTGTGTAAGTTGTATTCTTGTAGATCGTAGTTGGTCACGAAGGTCATAGTTGTGACTTGTGCAAACATATGTAGGCCGCAAAAGCTAGAGTTGAGAGTTGCTTGGCCTATGGACCACGTAGGTTGTTGTTGGTCACATAGGTCGTGCTAGTGAGCTATAATAGCATCCGTAGGTTGTAGAAGCTGGGGTTAAGGTTTTTTAAGGTGTGGAACAATAGGTCGTAGTTGGCCACATAGGCTATGGTGATGAGTTGCAATAGCATTCGCAGGCCACAGAGGTAAGAGTTAGGAGATGCTTTTGTCGTGAATCACACTGGTCTTAGTTGATCACAAATCATAGAGGTTGTAGTGGTGAGGTGCGATAACACCTGCAGACCACAGAGGTCAGAATTCGGATTTACATGAGTTGCGTACCATGTATGTGATGGTTTGTCATATAGATTGTGGTGGTGAGCTGCAAAAGCGTTTGTAGGCCGTAAAGGCCAAATTTAGAAGTTGCTTGAGCTATGAGCCACGTAGGTTGTGGTAGTCAATTGGAATAACTTTCGTATGCCACAAAGGTTGAAGTTGAAAACAATATGACTTCAACAATATGAAGAAGACCATTATATTCTAAATATGGAAATTGTAACTAGTTACTGAGAGGACTTGTATCGTATCTGAGATATGTTGTTACACCGTATGTAGGGTGCGTGCATGTTGCATCAACTTCGTTGCATAGCTATGCCAACTACGAGTTGTGTTGCTTTCTTTGATGTTTCATTACTCCGCAAAACCAGTTGTTACTCTACACGGTGTTTTGTTGCTCTGCACGATACTTCCTCACTCGGCAGTGTTTGTCGTGACTCTATAAGGAGCTTCGTTGTAATGAGCAAGAGGTGGTTAACGGGAGTCGATGAGGGGCAACGAGCAATGGTTAATGATGGTCGAAGACCGTGGCAATGGGAAACATTTGTAGAGTCTTTGGTGCAGGAAAACAATAGAATCTAGCTCCTCCCAATCCAGCCCTAGCTCTAGCTCTTCGTCTGGTTCAAGGCATAGGTCCATTTTCATGAAAAATGTAGGGGTTTATTTATAATTTCTTGGAGATGTCTCCCTGCATATAAGAAAATAATTTGAACCACTTCATTGAACGATTTATAGAGATTTCCTCGAACCGACAATATTAGATGGACATTTAAATGCCTTAACGACATTAGAACTAAGTAGTCTTGCACTCGATGAATATCTCTTGTTCAGATGCTCGATTTGATTATAAGCTTATTAGATTTGAAATCTATTTGATTCTCTAATTAGGTCTTAGAAACTTTTAAAAATAGTTTAAGGGCTCAATTTGGGCTGAATTTGACTCGTATTTGACCAATTTTTGTGTAATTGTGTTTGTCTCGTATATTCAATCTGTTTAACTGCAAGTTATCTAAAATATGAGTTTTGGATCATTTTTAATTGAACTTTGAATGTTTTTTGCCAATAAAAAAAAATTCAAGATTTGTGTCATGCCTCGAGATCTATGTCGGATATGAAAAGTTATTGATAATGTATAAATGATAGAAATTTTTTATAGCGTGTCAATTATAAAAAATAAAACAGCCCTTATGTTTTTTTGAATCATCAAAATTGAAAAACGAATCAGAATCATCAAAAAGAAAGAAAAAGAAGAGACTCATTGAGTTCCTTTATTAAGAACATATATATGAAACGTTAAGTGATTGGCGCAGAACTTAAACATCATTTTTGGTGAAGAAATATAGCAAGGGTCAACAAACAATTAAAATGGGTCAGAGTTTTTATAAACTTAAACACATTCGTTATACATAAGGTTGTCAAAACTACTCGTTGTTCACAAACAACTCATGTTCGACTCATCAAGTAGCTTGTATTTAATTTGTTTCATAAACAAAAGAGACAAACACGAATAATTTTTTTGCACTCGATATATAGACGATTCGAACACGAACAAAGGTTTATTCATTTATGTTCTCCTCATTTTGGCTCGAAATAATAAAATTATAAAATTAGTGAGTGAGTATTATTTTTAAATAATTTAATTGACTACAAAGATTTATAATCAATTTAATTATTAATTAATAAAATAGAAGAAAAATATATTAAATTCTATTTAAATGAATATAGTAATATAATAATAAGATTTAAATCTCACCCATATCCTTAGGATCCCACGGCTACGTCATTAGAAATGTCAAAATGGCTTGTTATTTGTAAACAACTCATGTTCGGCTTGCTAAACAAAAGAGTCGAACACAAACCAATTTTTTGAGCATATATTAACGAGCCGAACACGAACAACAATATTTTAGGGCTCACTTAAGCCCGACTCGTTTACACCCCGAGTTACGTGCCAATACACACGCTTTGGAGAAATTAAGAAGCAAAATTAACAATAATATCAGGTAAATTAGGTAATGCCTTAAGATGATCACGCCAATCCTAATGATGCAATTTACCCTAGCATTCACAAATTAGAAATTTGAAAAATACAAGAGAAACAACAAAGAGGGAAAACGTCATTTTCGTGGAAGCAAAAAAACAAAGATCATAGCGCATTTAAAAATTTGTTAAAATCGTACTACCCATTAGCGTAAAAAATGTCATCCGAAATCACATTCCTTAAAAACCCTAAAACCTGGAACGAAATAAGACGCAAAAGGAACAGAAACCCTAATGATGAAATCAAATCGAAATACGAAAAAATCGGAAGAGGAATAAAATGCGTCTAGGAGAGGAAAGATGCTGCCGCTTCCTTACCTGATTATCTTCGTTGTTCTCCATGAATGAAAGAAATGTCTTTACTCCGCTCCGTCTTGCGAGTTTCAGGTTCTTATTTATAGAGAACCCAAATGATCGAAGGTTCCAATACAATACACCTCCGGACTCGGATAGCTTATCTTTCACCAGCAGAAAGGGTCCAAATTATATTTTGTTTTTATACACCAACCATCAAAATTTTAAATATAATATTTTGGCCACCAAAACTTTAAATTTACATTTTAACCACGCAAAATCTTACTTCCTTTTGAAGCATGAATAATTAAGTCATTCTATTTAAAGTTTTGGGTGATTTTCTCGTGGTTGAAATGTAAAATTTTATGTATAGTAGTTAATCTATTGTATTTAAAGTTTTGTATGGTTGATATGTAAAAACCTATCAAATTATTGTCATCCATCCTTAAGAACAAACAATGATTTTTGCTGCCATATTGGTCAGCTAAAAATAGTATGAGAGAATATCACGTATCGAAATTTGCAGGAGAATAAAGATCGCTTTGCAACCGTCCAATTCGGGCGCCTTCATTCTAACCACAAAATGTTGGATTAAAGCAAAGGGATTTACATATGTATCATAGAAAACATCTATATTTATCTAACACCTAAAATTTTTCATCTAAAGTATTACCACCCATAATCCCTTCATACCAACAAATTTTATCTCTTTGTTGCCTATCTTTCTCCCCTGTTTACATGACATTCCCTTCCTCTATGAAATCCATTCACATATCACATCTTCCTTGACGCTTCGTCTCTCCATTAGTTGTCAGGTGATCTTCCCATATCGGCCTTCTCTCTCTTGTTTGGACGGCGGCGTACAATGTTAAAGTAGCTACCATCTTTTTCCAACCTCCTTCATGCGCTTCAACTCCTTTTAAAGATAAAATATTACATATGATTTAATGTATGTATTGCAATTACAAAGATGCACAAAAAAAATATGATACACGAACTCCGGCATCTGCACCGTCATCCGTACATATGTTGAACGTATGTAATATCATGTGGGGATTTTTTTTTTGTTTGGTGCTACCATAGCTCTCGAAAGACTTTTATTTAAATGATCGATAATGATATTCGAAGAAAAATATACTATCTCGAAAAATAAAAAATATTATTTTAGAATGGATTCAATTATTCAAATGATAAAAGTTTGTGGGATTTATGGATCTATGGAATCAGGATTCTACTTTTATCTTACGGGTGTAAGATAAGATTTATTTTAATTTTATGGTCTCGTTCCTTATAAGGCCGTTCCCTTGTAGTTAATTACATATATAAGGTTGTGAGCCCTAAATAAAACTCTCGATTAATGTAATAAGTCAATTTGTCACGGATCAGACTTTCATAATTGAAGTGATTATAAGTAAAGGGTCCAAATTGAAAGAATTAAGTTCCAAAGGATGGGACTTACAGTCTGATAATGATGTGTCATGAGAAATGCCAAAAAATGTAAGATGAAATTTGAGGAATGACGATCAAAAGATTTGAAAGAGACTGACGATGAGTTAAAAGATAAATCGGGGATACTAGATTTGACTGACATGAATGATTTGAAACTTTGAACTAAGGATAGATTCAGGTAGGAAAGGATTTCTAATGTGAAAAATGAAACTTTAGAATTTATAAAGAAATCTATAGGCAGACTAACCTATATTTTGGGAATAACGTCCCCGGTCAAGATGCTCATGGCTTTTTGTCATCCCAGAAACATTTGTATCCATCGAGTGTGACTAGCCTCATAACCAGGAGTCCCGCTTGAATGTCGGATCATGGAGGATTTGTAGCTTCAAAGCAGTTTTAAATTCCTTCGTTAGTAACCATGGGTTACTTCGTTATAAGGCATTCCCTCTTGTCTTAGAAAAAATATTACATTCGGACTCTGGAAGTGCGGACAACGGCTCGGATGCAACCAGGAGGGCGGAGGTCTGATTCCTCTCCTCCTCTGTTGCATATGGGTCGTTTTTCGCACATTTGGAATTTAGATGTAATATTTTTTCCTTGTCTTAGGGGGTTGGTTTGTTATTTTGTAAGTCTTAATCCTTAGCACTAACTAGGGTACCTTGGCAAATCTAGGGTTTTATACTCAAACTAACCTAAGATAAGTGTATGCCCTCAGTTTAGTGTCTAAGTTAACTAACCTAAGGTCAATGTCAGATCTATTTAGGCTTTGTTCTTGTTCTTTATCTTGGTGGGATTTAGATGGTTGTTTGAAGAAAGATATTTTAATTCATGTCTTGTTTCAATTTCTAGGTTTGTCAATCATTTTGAGAAATCAAAGTTTTCTAAGATTTGAATTTGTTGTTTTTGGGATCTGATTTTTTTTATTTTTATGGGGAAAACCATCTTGTGAGAGGTTTCCACCCTTATTTTGGTTTTATTTTTTTTTTTTTTGGTTATGATTAACATATCAAATAAAAATAACACATATACTCAACCTTGGATTAGACTTGGGCTAGGGTTGAGCTGAGGTAAGTAGAATTTCCAGTTTAGGCTAACTAAAGATTGAGCTAAGGTATGATATAGGTCATCTAATTTGGGCCTGGGTCGAACGTAGGTTGGCTCGGGTTAAGTTGGGTCGGATTTAGGTTGTTCTGAGTTGGTCTAGGTTTGATTTGAGTTTAACCTGGGTTAACTGGGTTTACCCGGGTTGGGTTGGGTTTGATTTAGGTTGACCCAGGTTAAGATGGGTTTGATTTGGGTTGCTTGGGTTATGTTTGTTGACCTGAGTTATGTTGCGTTGGGTTAACCCGAGCTAACTTAGGTTTGATTTGGGTTGACATAGGTTAGGTTTTATTTGACCCCGGTTAAGTTGGGTTAACCTGGTTTGGGTTAGAGTTGATTTGTTTTGTACTTAGGTTAGGTTTAGGTTGACACAGGTTAAGCTGGGTTGACTCAGGTTGTCTTAGGATTGATTTAGGTTTTACACAGGTTGAGCTGGGTTCGATTTGAGTTTGGACTAAACCTGAGTTGTCTTATGTTTAATTTAGGTTTGACTTGAGTTAAGCTGTGTTGGCCCGAGTTGACTTGTTTGATTTGGGTTTGATTTGGGTTAGATGAGCTTAACCCGAGTTGACTTATGTTTGATTTGGGTTGACATGGGTTGGGTTAAGTCTAAGGTTTGGTTTGGTTTAGACCTAGGTTAGGTTAGATCTAAGGCTAGGTTTGGGTTAGACCTAGGTTGGGCTAGGTCTAAGGTTGGGTTTGGGTTAGACCTAGATTGGTTTAAGTCTAAGGTTGAGTTTGGGTTAGACCTAGGTTGGGTTTGGGTTAGATTTAAGTTGAGTCAGGTCTAAGCTTAGGTTTTGGCTAAACTTAAGTTGGGTTAGTTCTAAGGTTGAGTTTGACATTTGATTTGGGTTCAGGTTGGATTTAGGGATTGGATCAGGTCTGAGTTGGGTCAAACCTGAGTTGGGTTTAGGGTTTGACTCGGTGAGTGAGAGTTAGGGTTAGGCTGGGTTACGGTCGAACTAAGTCGTGCCCTAACCCAAACCTTTTCCTTTGTTTGAGCCATCGAGGCATCTGTCGAAGAGTTGGGGATCTCATTATAATGTCTTGAAGAGCACCGAAGACCGCTTATTTATAAGTTAAGGAAGGTGGTAGCAGAGGGCTCCTGGTCATTCTATTACATGGCTCATCGACGACAGAGATAAATCAGACCGTTAACGAGCCATGAATTGTTGGTGTGTCAAGTGGAGCGGCCATGTGAGGTGGTCATGTCAGCTTTGTCTAGGAGTGGTGACGCTCAAGCTTGGCATGGCCATGCCGAGGAACTTTTCGGCATGCTCATGCATAGGCTATTTGTGACGATGCAAAGAAATTTTGGGCACGGTCAGACCCAGGTCTGACATGACCACGCCATACCAAGGCCAAAAAATGGGCAGATTGCGCTTTGACCAATCAAGCTGCATCTGACCAAAGGCTGTTGCCCAGGTAAGACTTGTGTGACTAAAAATGAGGTCAACAGTGTGTTAGATTTTTGTGCAATGCCAAGATGTTAAATAATCTCTCTACTGTAAGAGACTTTCCTACATTAATTATATAAATAATAAAAAAAGAAAATTTTCTATTAAAAATTTAAAATAATTTTATGATACCACCACAAATATTTAATAATGAAACTTGTATGTATGTAAGCTACCTTTAGTTCTATACGTTAAAATAAGAAAAAAAAATGGTTCCAGCAATTTGCACCAAAATGGCAAATAACATTTCCAGAAATTACTGTCATGTCGCATGCCCTATATTTGCATAAAGTTAAATGCTTCGAGTAATTGTGCATTGATACATATTCAAGTTATGATATTTTTGTCTTATGTTACTTGATCATCTGAATATACATAATGATAGCTTTAAAGTATTTAAGAACATTTTCGAGCATTTTATTTATATAAGAAAATTGATTATTTTCCATAATAAAAACAAAGTAATGGACTGAAAGTAATGGTGATTTTAATATATATA